TAAAGTTTGTACCTAAGTACTTGTATGTTTCTGTACACAATATAAATATTATCTTTGTTTTCTTATTTTTAAATTTAGCCTGACTAGTTGCTCATCTTTGGCCTAATATTTCAAAAATTCCCAATGCTGGTGGTTTTAAATGTGCACAAGTATACACAAAGGTTTTTGTAATTGTTTTTTTTTTGGGGGGGGGGGGGGGGGGGGGGGTTATTTAATATCAGACGAAAATTAAATTCAGGCTTCTTCTGTTGAAAAACCACATATTTCATGCCTAATCTACACAAGTTAAATTTGAAAGCCATATGTCAGCTCCCTACACTTCACACCAGCTTAGTCAGTGTAATAAAATATGGTTGATGTCATAAAGGAAGTACTGCCTGTGTTAAAAATAAGAACTTTATGCTTCTGATAAGATTATCTCAATATGAGAGCGATATTTAAACATCACAGTGGTGCAGTTTATGGCAACATGATCAATGTTTTTGAACCCAGTCTGCAAAACCCCTCTTGAAACAAATTTACAATTACTTAGATAGTTTATTGACTCGTCTCTAATATTTTGACATGCTAATTTTGTTTTATCTCATTAAATGCAAAGCAACTAATCATGTATTCCCTATTTTTTCTGCTTACAAGTTAGTTACAAATCTTTTACAGGATGTTGCAGTCCCAACTCCAGCATTTTTTGGCTGATGTGGTTTTTCTAGGCACATTTTACGTTTAGTAATTTGCCATTGCTTCTGAACGGCCAGCTCTCGGTACCACTGCCAAAACCAATGCAGGACAAATCGTCTGCAGCTAGGATCTAACCTAGCATTACGCAGCACATTCACAACGCCTAAGCTACAGACACTTTCTGCTTATATTATATTATATTAAATCTGCCCCAATGTGGGACTCAGTGTTTTGTTATTTTAAAGCCCTGCTCAGCTCTTGTCGAGGGCCTTAACTATAACCTACAGGTTGAGCAGGGTTTCTGGGACTTGTGCCCGGGTGATTCTCATCCGAGTTGTGACATTTTGTGTCACCAGGTGTTTGTTGCTTGTCATGCTGTCCTGATGTGGTTGAACATCAGTGTTTTACATTGTACTATTGTTTCAACCATTTATGCCCCATGCAACCTCTGCAATTAACAGCTCTACTCTAATTGTTAACAGTTTCTGTCTCATTGTATCATTATTTGAACTTTCTCAGACCCAAAGATTCATTGGTTACATTAAAAACTTCTTAGGATAGAACAGGTTGAATAGTAACAATGCAGTAATTCAAACAACAGTGTCCTGTTAAACACATCTGGGTTATGATTGGGATATATTTAGATTTGTGGATGTTTGAATATCAGGAGCCTCTCTTGGCTGTGGTGAAACATTGCAATCTAGCCTGGTTTGGACACGTGGTGAGACATGATTCGATTGCAAAGACTGTTTCAAGAAACAATTAGGGGGTAGTCGAAAAAGAGGAGGGCAAAGAAGAGCCTGAAATGACATACAAAAATGGACAGGACTTAGTTATTATCAAGCGGAAGACAGAGAAAGATGGCGGGGTTTATGTGCTAGTGTTGTCATCAATACACCTTCATGACCCTAACGGGTCAAGGGTTATGAATGTATGAATATTGGATATTTACACTTGTCGATTACTTTTGATTGTAGCAGTGTAGATTGTTAATTTTAATATATTTTAGGTGTATTTTTTAAAAATAATAATGAAAAATGATATTGCATATCTTTATAAATATTTAAAGAGATGTGGAACACCATTGTTCTGTGTTAGAATATATTAATACCTTAAATGTGGCCTCTGTTCTTGTGATATAGTGTTTAATCTGTGTCTCGGAATGAAAGTTATATTAGAGAAAATCAGTCCTTTCTACACAGATAATCTATATAACTTGCTGTTAGTTAAGTAATGTGAATAGGTGTTGTTTCTTTACGGTGACATCTTATGGAAACAGACAGAAAAATACAGTTCTGGTGAAAAGAAATATATATATATATATATATATATATATATATATATATATATATATATATATATATATATATATATATATATATATATATATATATATATATATATATATATATATATATATATATATATATATATATATATATATATATATATATATTGCTGGGAAACAACATGAAAACCAAATAATAAAATATTGATTAGCGCTTATTGAAAAGAATGAACTGTGTAGCAATGAGAAGGCAGTCTAGAAAACTAAAAATTCTATCTACAGGAGCACTGATATTTAAACATGTCACCTCCAGTTATATTTCAAAATCAAATTGCAGTATTTTTTGTGGAAAATAAAGAAATAGAAAAAAAACACTGTAATATGGCTCTGTTGCTCTGGGGCTCAAAGATTAGTAAAACATTTTCACGATGCAGTCCTCAATATTTACCAGAGTTTTATTCCAGCAGTGGGCGGTTTAAAAAAATATATTTTTATGACTTTCAGACAGTGGCATGAGAGTCGCATAGTGGAAGAGGTTGGGGCCTCGCATATTGTCTTCATGATATCATGAACCATCCAGAGAAATATGGTTGTTTAAAAAGTTAGCTGCATATTGTCTTTAGGATATCATGAACCAGCCAGAGAAATATGGTTGTTAAAAAAGTTAGCTGCATATTGTCTTTAGGATATCATGAACCAGCCAGAGAAATATGGTTGTTAAAAAAGTTAGCTGCATATTGTCTTTAGGATATCATAAACCAGCCAGAGAAATATGGTTGTTAAAAAAGTTAGCTGCATATTGTCTTTAGGATATCATAAACCAGCCAGAGAAATATGGTTGTTAAAAAAGTTAGCTGCATATTGTCTTTAGGATATCATGAACCAGCCAGAGAAATATGGTTGTTAAAAAAGTTTGCTGCATATTGTCTTTAGGATATCATAAACCAGCCAGAGAAATATGGTTGTTAAAAAAGTTAGCTGCATATTGTCTTTAGGATATCATGAACCAGCCAGAGAAATATGGTTGTTAAAAAAGTTAGCTGCATATTGTCTTTAGGATATCATGAACCAGCCAGAGAAATATGGTTGTTAAAAAAGTTAGCTGCATATTGTCTTCATGATATCATGAACCAGCCAGAGAAATATGGTTGTTAAAAAAGCTGCATATTGTCTTTAGGATATCATGAACCAGCCAGAGAAATATGGTTGTTAAAAAGGTAGCTGCATATTGTCTTCATGATATCATGAACCAGCCAGAGAAATATGGTTGTTAAAAAAGTTAGCTGCATATTGTCTTTAGGATATCATGAACCAGCCAGAGAAATATGGTTGTTAAAAAAAAGTTAGCTGCATATTGTCTTTAGAATATCATAAACCAGTCAGAGAAATATGGTTGTTAAAAAAGTTAGCTGCATATTGTCTTTAGGATATCATGAACCAGCCAGAGAAATATGGTTGTTAAAAAAGTTAGCTGCATATTGTCTTTAGGATATCATGAACCAGCCAGTGAAATATGGTTGTTAAAAAAGTTAGCTGCATATTGTCTTTAGGATATCATAAACCAACCAGTGAAATATGGTTGTTAAAAAAGTTAGCTGCATATTGTCTTTAGGATATCAAAGACCAGCCAGTGAAATATGGTTGTTAAAAAAGTTAGCTGCATATTGTCTTTAGGATATCATAAACCAACCAGAGAAATATGGTTGTTAAAAAAGTTAGCTGCATATTGTCTTTAGGATATCAAAGACCAGCCAGTGAAATATGGTTGTTAAAAAAGTTAGCTGCATATTGTCTTTAGGATATCATAAACCAACCAGAGAAATATGGTTGTTAAAAAAGTTAGCTGCATATTGTCTTTAGGATATCAAAGACCAGCCAGTGAAATATGGTTGTTAAAAAAGTTAGCTGCATATTGTCTTTAGGATATCAAAGACCAGCCAGTGAAATATGGTTGTTAAAAAAAGTTAGCTGCATATTGTCTTTAGGATATCATGAACCAGCCAGTGAAATATGGTTGTTAAAAAAGTTAGCTGCATATTGTCTTTAGGATATCATAAACCAACCAGTGAAATATGGTTGTTAAAAAAGTTAGCTGCATATTGTCTTTAGGATATCAAAGACCAGCCAGTGAAATATGGTTGTTAAAAAAGTTAGCTGCATATTGTCTTCATGATATCATGAACCAGCTTGTTACCTCGCTTAGCCAAATATCCTGGACAGAAAATCTATGGTATGCTCTTGATCTAGGTGTATATACTGTCATTAGTTACACAGTAACATACATGGATACATTGGAGTTGCTGAACAACAAAGATAGATATGTTCTTATGTCGGATTCAGTTACTTCACTGAAACAGAAAATGATCAAGAATAGTGCTAAGAAAATATAGTTCCAATACGATCTGTGTGGTGAGCTTGGTTCTGTTTTTTATTGCTTTTATTAAGTTCAGTTTTGTTTGTTTGTTTTAATAATTATCATTGTTAATCTGTACCTCTGATAAGCTGGCATTTGTTTCCACAGTAATTTTTCTATCTATTTCATGCTAGGTATGTGATTGATTTATAAAATTATGAAACATATTTATTTTCCATCCCAGATATTTATCTTAACCCATCCTATTATTTTGATAACAGCTTGTTAACAGGAAATGGTGCTATATTTGTAGGATAGCATGAAAATAGAACTGAAATTATTTTTGATAATATATGTATTTTATTTTAGAGGTGGGGGGGGGGGGGGGGGGAGTGTGGGATAGACCCAATGCGTCCAAATAAACGTAGTAAAAAAGCAAAAAATTTAGTAGGATTTGCTGAAACCAAATGGCTGAAAATACAGATGTCACAGCCTATCTGTAAAACACAACACCATGTGCCGGTAGAGGTGAACATTGAAGAAGAACAATATTGAAATCATTCATCTCAGAATTTATATTTTATAAGTTTAAACAGCTTTAGTTTAAATGTGTGTGGTATATAACTTATATTGAATTTAGTCTTGTACACAAGTGATTCATAAGTTTTCTCGGATTTCTGCCAGGTTGACTGGCAAAAAGCTGAATGCAATGAACTTTGGTTCATACAACTATCTCGGTTTTGCTGAAAACACTGGCCCTTGTGCTGATCATGTGGAAAAGACAACAAAACAGTATGGCGTTGGAGTGTGTGCAACTCGACAAGAACTAGGTAAGGCATTGTAATTTCTTCTTCTTTTTCTTTTTCTTCTTGTTTTTCTTCATGTTTACTGGCTGTAAAATGCGGCGGAAAGTTCTTGTTGTTCGTTCACGTCTATCTAGGGTATTTTCAGTTAAACACATTTAAAATAATTCTTTTACACATATCAGATTATTAATATTTTAAATGTATTAGTAGGCAGATGTTTAAAAAAGTAATGTCCCTTTTTGGGGTTTCAGGCGTCCAAAGAATAGACCCACCACTCCTTGTCAAGCTTATTGAAAAGTTTTGCTAAAATTGGATGTGTTGGCCTATAAAAGGTACTGGTATTGCATCCTAGCTGTAAACCATAATATAGTTGCCAACCACTCTTTTGGGAGTGAACTTGGAAGAAGAAGAAGAAGAACGTAATGAAGGAAAATTGAAAAGTGTACACTAAATATACCACTTAGCAAATGTTTTATTTTTAAATTATCATTTTCAGTTAACACTGATGAATCCTTATGTAGTGGTAATTTAATCAGCAGTATCCTGTTCAACTCATCAGAGCTATTTTAGGATATATACATTTCTTATAACAAACCTCTAAGAGCAGAATCATATGACAAATCATTGGGCTGTAAGAAGACTTAAACAAAAGGAAAAAGCAAAGAATGGAGAAGCAATAGTGAAATTCATAATCTGTTTAAATCACCACTGATTCTTGGCATCACAAAGGCTAATAGACTTTAGTGGGGCATACAGAGAGAATGGCAGATAATGTAGAGACAAAAACTGTGTACACAAAAGAGTTGAATGAAATTAGACCACAAAAGCAGATTAGAATGAGACGACGGATCAACATCATGGCACAAGGGTAGTAACCCATAAGTGCTTCGTTCTACTTCTGACTCAAGCCTGAATCTGAAGAATCTCAGTGCAGTGCACAAACTCGGCAGCACCGGCGAAACTAGACTACAGAAGTAGCAGTATTGTACTTATTGTTATTCTCCACCTGCAGGTTACTTAGACATTCACAGGGAGCTGGATGAACTGGTGGCTGAGTACCTTGGTGTGGAGGCAGCCATTACTGTGCCAATGGGATTTGCTACTAATTCCATGAACATGCCAGCTCTTGTCAGCCAGGTGAGACATGATCAGGCACCTTTCCCTTTTTTTTATATAAGATGATACATTTCAAGCTTTAATGAGATCTTCTTTGGGAGTCAGCTACTTTATTTACTCTTGCCTAGTCCATTATGATTTGACCACACAGTTTTCTATTTTGGGTATGTTAGGAAGAAAAATGCATTCACACCCTATGCTACCAGTGCCAAAAGTGGTCCAGAAAATTAGTAATTATGGAAGTTATGAAACCTTTAACCTTATCATATACTGTAAGTAAGCATGGTTATTTTGCATCACCTCTAGTAAATTAGATTATTTTAGTTAAAACTACTGCCAACTGAATACTGCGTTCATACTTATATTACACAATTGCTTACTTATAAATATCTTGTTTTTTCTCATGAATTCTTGTTACACTGGCAACTTTATAGCTTTGATACTACTGTGATCGTATGGTTCTGTGTTTATGCTTCTTAAAGCTGGCATAACATTTTTAATTACACTTAATTTATGATTTCCATGGGCTTCTAAATACAAGATTTTGTTCTCCTTTTGATCAACAGGGATGTCTCATCCTCAGCGATGAGTTAAACCATGCATCTCTTATCCTAGGATCTCGCTTGACTGGTGCAGTTATTCGAACATTCAAGCATAATGGTCAGTATTGATGTTTGTGTTAATGTATATTGATTGAGAAGAATGCAGATAATATTATGAAATGATTGGAAAACAAATAAAGGAGTATTACTTGAGACAGATGAACACTAAAGTATTTAGAGAAGTTTCATGTAAAGACAATATATTTTTGGACATGTTATGAGAAGGAAGGGGCGCTCTAGAACTTGGTGACAACTGGCAAGATTGATGAAGAAGAAAAAAAAGCACAAAGGAAAAGCAAAGAGATAAATTCCTGGATGGCTTGGCCATATGGAGGGGGGCAAGACAAGAGCTCATCTGATCCGTGATTCTGCTGATCATTTGAGATAGCAAAAAGACCTTTTTTTTTTCGGCAATACACTTGATAATGGTATGATTGTGTAGTGGACTCTCATTTGCCAGCCTAAGTGTCTTGAGTTCAAATCTACATTGTGGTAGATTGTTTCAAAATTGACCTGCTCCCAGGTGGACCTAGCCTCAGAATTGGTAATATTTAATGTCCTGGGAAGTAAGGACGGTCATATCACCCATAGGTAATATTTAATGTCCTGGGAAGTAAGGACGGTCATATCACCCATTTAGAGTGAATTTGTTGAGGACATGTCTAGATGGTGATAAAGAGCAGAAGGAGAAGTGTGTATGTATATATGTATGTGTTTATATGTGTGTGTTTATATGTGTGTGTATATATATATATATATATATATATATATATATATATATATATATATATATATATGTGTGTGTGTGTGTGTGTATATATATATATATATATATATATATATATATATATATATATATATATATATATATATATATATATATATACATACATACATACATACACCATTTTCACTTTGAATACTTTTCAAATCAAACTAGATGACTTACAAACCACCTAGGACATTTTTCAAACCATACTGGACAATTTTCAAACTACTAGGATGTTTTTCAAATCAATCTGGACATTTTTCAAATCACATAGGACATTTTTCAAATCAAACTGGACGATTTTCAAACTACTAGGATGTTTTTCAAATCAATCTGGACATTTTTCAAGTCACCTGTGACGTTTTTCAAACCAAACAAATTAATTTTTTTCAGACATGGCAGATCTTGAGAAGAAATTGAGAGATGCGGTCTGCCATGGTCAGCCAAGAACTCACAGACCTTGGAAGAAGATACTGATTGTTGTGGAGGGAGTTTATAGGTGAGCAACCTGGTACTATCTCTTTCTTAGTGTTGTATGTGTGCAGGCATTGTTAACCTGAATATATATATATTTTTTTTTTGACAATACAGCAATATCCTAACCCTGTAGGTTCCAAAGGCCAAGTGGGGGGGGGGGGGGTTGTCTGGAAGAATACATCTATTGCCCCCCCCCCCCCCCAATAGAGTTTATTGCATATTCTTTACAAGACGTTGCAGAACCAACCCCAGCATTTTTTTTGTGTGGCTGTTGTGGTTTTTCTAGGCAAATTTTACGTTTCAGTAGTTTACCATTGCATCTGAACGGCCAGCTTTCAGTACCATTGTCGAAACTAACTCAAGACAAAATGCACAAGACGTCTCAGCCTAGCTGTAACCCACATGACAACATGCGACCCACCCTTTAAAGGTTGAATGCAGAAATAAAAAACAGAACAGCAGTCATTTCATGTTTACTGTTGCTTCTCATTGCTGGAAACTGTGGGTGTGTAATGGTTAGCATGCTTGCCTCCTGCCCCTTCAGTTCTATGTTTAAATCACCCTCAGTTTGATATTTAAACAAACAGACCTTGATTAAGGTCAGTTGAGAAAAGGGGTACCATGATATGTCCTAGAAAGTTTAGTCACAGACATCCATTACAAGTGCTGGTGAATTAACCTACATAAAATAAATGAACATATTTGCCTATGCTGGTCATAGTAATTGTAATGGAGGGTCAGTTATGGTTATCAGCAACATTAGAATATGATGCCAAAGGGGATAATCATATGAAGAGGTTTTGGAGTGATGGAATAAAAAGACAGTTGTTGAAATAAATAAAATAAAAAGGTGAAATATTTTATCACATTAAAAGACTGCACTCTTATGAAAACCATACTATCAGTGGGCAAGAGACAAACAGTGATACATATGGGAATATAACAATCAAGAAAAGGTTGAAAGCAGTCTCAGAGTGAAAAACCATGTTGAAAGACAGTGTTGGAGATCCTTTGGAGCCAATCTTGAAAGAGGAGTCTGCACCTGATTAACACTCATAAATATATTTTTTTGTTTAGCATTAGTAGTTGACAAGGTTTCAGCTTCACCTCAGACAAGTCACCTCATAATTACTCTGTTTTTGTGGCATTGAAAGTCACTCAAAATGTCCTTTTCTGTCCCATTTGAAAACTGTAGTGTACGAATAATTGGCTTTTATGAAATCCAGAAACATGCACATACAATAATTTGTTAAGGGGGAAAGGGGGGGGGGGGGGTGTATGATAATGTAACATATTATTTTCCTTACTGACAGCATGGAGGGATCTATAGTTCGCCTGCCTGATGTGTTACGTCTGAAGAAAAAGTACAAAGCCTATGTTTACTTGGACGAGGCCCACAGTATTGGAGCTATCGGCCCACATGGCAAAGGAGTGGTTGATTACTTTGGCTTAGATCCGCAAGATGTTGACATCATGATGGGAACGTTTACCAAGAGCTTTGGTTCTATGGGAGGCTACATTGGCGGCTCAAAAGTAAGTCGGCTGCCTGAAATAATGTTGTTTGTGGAAATTTCTCGTGGTTGTGGAAACTTAATTATGTGCAGGCTCGCATTCATCATAATTAATTGTTTGAGTTGAATGTTTTTCTTGAGAACATTTGTTTTCCATGTAAAAGCATTAGCAGTTAGAACAGACTATCCCAGCTTGTGCAAACAAAAAGATTACTTAGTTAAGCTTAGACTTCAATTGTGATCACATCACTGATTTCATACCTCTGCAGTAATGCATCTGATGAGAAAACATGAAATCTACCAGTTAATATATTGTTTGTTTCCTCATTATTTAAATTTTCAACCAGAAAACACTGTTTTGAATTCAATGTAAAATGTTTTAGAGTCCGCTTATGGACATTTATAAACAAACATATTTTGGTTCAATGTTGTCTAATTTTTTTTGTTCCATGCTTATGTACTGGATTTTGCTGTTGTACCTGGCAGGCCCTGATAAACCACCTGCGAGCAAATGCACACAGTTTTATTTACTCCACGGCCATGTCGCCTCCAGCAGCTCAACAAGTGATCAGCACCATGCGGATAATTATGGGCAAAGATGGCACCCAAGAAGGTTTGACAATCTATGTATTTTGTTAAAAGTCGGTTTCTCATATTTAAAAAAAAATCAATTCTACACATAAGAAATAAATTTTTATGATACAGTTGCAGTTCTGTACGGCAGACTTTCTGAAAGCAGACTCCAATCATGTCTTTCACAGCTGCCCAAAGTTTACGATGTGAAATAGCAATCTTCTCCACAGAAGTAACCCAGCAGTACATATTGTATAAGACTAATGAATAACTCATATGTTAGGTTCTGATCATTGCCTGAATAGATGTGAAACAAACATTGATCGTGAAAAAAGTGCATAGTCCTTTAATAAAACACACTTTTTGTTGTTGTTGTGTAAACTGGTTCTGTTTGTGTCAATTTGAACCAACAACCTTTGTATCCGCAGGCGAGCGCCGAGTCGCTACACCATGGCGGCTTAAGAAAAGAGATAAGAATGTAGTAAATGGATGTCTGACAAGCTAGATGCTATCAAACGCTTTGGAATCAAGTGGATAATGTGGAAGCACAAATAGATCATCACCCTCTGAAAAGAATGGTGCAGGGGGTAGTGATCAGGGGATGTTTCTTGTAGTTTCTGGTGCAATTCTGTGAGTTTTCCAGCATGAGATGCAGCGACTGCATTAATCCCTTATCTTTGATGTAAGTACCAGCATAGTTGTCAATATAACTAGGACCCTAGACAATTTGCCTCTGGCGCATTGTTGACCGAGAGGACATCATGGCAGAATAAACTAAAACGTAATCAGTTATTTGGTGTTTTGTCAGCGTTTGTTTCTGTGTCAAGCTTGCACTGTTGATGTGTCAGGGTATACTGCGTATGATGAGAGAGCCAGGAGAGTTATTGCAGGCCAACACACAACATTTAGAGGAAAAGCAAGATGGTGTAACGGTCAGACTTCTCCTGGTACCATCAGAATTAGAACTCTCTGCTGGACGCTGAAGATGAGGATGGAATACTTATGGGAATGTCCAGAGTGCCAGGATGTCATCTCTTGACTCAACTCACCCAAAGAAAGGGATGTATATTCAGAACAAGAAATTGTGTTGTGAGTTGCTGGCCTTGAAATAGTTGGCAAAAGTAAGCCCTTCATTTTTGGTAATGGACCAAGTTATGAAGTGAAAACATGTACCACAGTATTGGACAGCAAACATTCGAACTTAGCCACTTGCTTCTGTGCTCTGTTAGTCAACTCATTACTTTCTGTCAGTTCTGTTTATGCTGAGGTTTATTATTATCATTATTTGTTTACTGATTATGTTTGACCGATCAAAGGTGCAAACAGAGGAGATGGAAAATGAAAAGCAAGAACAAAATTCATAATCTGTGAAAGTCACCACTGCTTACCAGCATCATGAGGGCTAATAGACTGCAACGGTTGGAGTATGTAGAGAGAATGGCAGGTAACAGAGAGACAAAAACTGTATAAACAAAAAAGTTGACATGAAGTAGACCACAAGGCAGACTAACAAGATTTGGGAAAGAATATATACATACAAGCAGATCTGCTGAAAACGTTGAAGTCACTAACTGGAAAGAGAAGGCCAGTCACAGAGATGAGTGGAGGCAGATGATGTCTGCAGTAGTGAACCCCAAGGGCTCCGAATGGTGAAGAAAAAGGTTATGTTTGGTTGGTATTGATGCTATTGTGCTCTTTCAAAATCAGTTTTTCACCATATTATGCTTTTTATTATGGATAAACAGTTTTGATGTTTGTGTGGTCTTCATTGATTCTCATTATGCTTTCTTTGTTGTATATTTTTTTTGTTTGTTTATGTAGTCTTTATCGATTATCAGATTTATTATAATGGTGTTTATGATCGAATTTGAATTCTGGTTTCATACCAATCACTATTTATAGAAGTTTTTTCATGTACTGATGTATGATTGTTTGGATATGCTTTCTATTTACAATTATTCTTTATCCAGTTTGTGTAATTTTTAAGTGTTGACATAACATAGAACTTATTTTATAGGTCTGCGAAGAATCCGGCAGCTTGCATGGAACACACGCTATTTTCGAAAGCGGCTTCATGAAAAAGGATACATCCTCTATGGCAACAAAGACTCCCCTGTTGTTCCTCTGCTTCTGTATATGCCTTCAAAAGTTCCGTAAGTAATGTTGACTCTTTATCTTCAATATTATCTTCCATAGATCATATATATTTAAATTTGGGAGTTGTTAGTCTAAACGCACTTGGAGACATACTGAGGAGGAGATTCAAGCATTTATGGTCATGTTGATGAAGATGATCTGAAAAAAATGAACAACGAACAGTTGTTCTTCGGTAGTTTTTTAATTGAGACAATTTATGAAGATATCACTTAGTACATTAAGGGCACCTTTTGGGGGGCAAATGAATATCGTGATAAAGCAACTAAATCATCTGGAGAGAATTCAGAAATAAGGAATTACCAGTGGATCTGATTGACATTAAAACCTCAGCAGATTTGCAAGACAGACATACAATCAGAATTCTGCCTGAATTATTAGTGCTGCAACTGTGCTGGCTGCTAAAGATAGAGATGGGGTGCTTATGGGACTGTCCCAAGTGCTGTGATGTGGCAATGAAGTAAATGTAGTCAAGACACTTTGGGAGCAAGTGAACAATACAGAGGCTTTAATCGATCACTATTGTTTGGAGAGAAGGGTACAGATGGGAGTGATGAGGGGATCTGATGCACTCAGAAGAAAGGCTAGGCAGACCTATAATAAACTGCTGCTGGCACCATCGAAATTGGAACTCCACACTGGCTGCTGAAGATAAGGACAGAGTGCTTATGGGAATGTCCCAAGAGCTGTGATGTCAGTTCTTGGCTCAACACTCAATGCTCCAGCTGGCCTATATTTGCTGAATTATTACCTGGTTAAATTCTAATTTTTTGATAAGTGCAGTTGCTAGACCACTTGTCTTTCTTGTTTGAATCTGCACTGTGGCAGATTTTTTTCTTTCTTAAAAATTCACCTTCTCTCCCAGGTTGAACGAGTCTGAAAGAGGGTACAAGTTAATATCTTGGAGTAAAGATGGCTGACGTGATGATAACTACATCACCCACCAAGTGCAGATTGGTCCATTTTTACACCAGTGATAGTTCGGGCATATGGTGCTAGAGCCATGTTTTTTTTTAGTGATAACGTAAATAGGGGGTGACTACTGATTGCAAGAAATGCTAAATATAACACAATATGTGACTACAGTTCAACAGAAGGAATAGAAAAGATGCACACAAACGCAATCAATCGTTTCAACCAAAGTCTTTATCAGTGGAATACTAAATACAGCACAAACTGTGACTTGAAAACTCAGTGGACAAGACCAACAGAGCTAATAAAAACACCAAGGTCACAATGAAACCATTACGTACTTCTTGGTTTCATGTTGACCTTGGTGTTTTTCTGTTGAGCTTTCTAAATGGGTACCAGGTAAAGTCCTGGAAAGTAAAGGCAGCTGGCTTGATGCTGACTACATCACCTACTGAGTGCCGATTGGTCTGTAAAATATAGGTATGTATGCTCAAAGCAGCTGAAGGCAGGGAAAAGGGTCCATTTACTTTTGTTGCTGTTAGAAAATTGAATTTCAGGTTAAGCCTTTTAATATAATAGTGAATTCTTAAAAGGCTTCAGAGCATTTTATCAGTACCAGAGCTTTTTGTTTCAGTTCTGATTTATCTTTTGTTTACAGCTCGTTCTCTAGGGAGACACTGAAACGTGGCCTAGCCGTTGTGGTGGTTGGGTTCCCAGCGACACCTCTGATTGAAACCAGGGCTCGTTTTTGTTTATCTGCAGCACACACTAAAGAAATGCTGGATGAGGTAAAGAAAGCTGTTTGTATACAATCTTTATTTATTTCTTTGTTCTTTTTAAAGGTTCCCTTGATATCATTGCAGTTGGTAGGATTAACTTTGCGCACTATGATATGATAGGTGTAACGAGGAAAGATCGACTTAGAAACGATCATATCAGAAGGAGAGTCGGCACAGAACCAGTAATTAACTTTTAGGTAGACAACTGATCAAATGGTTTGGCCATGTAACAAGATCAACTTTAGACAGGGCACCACAGAGAGCAATGTTAAAACCACAAGATGGACCACAGAAATATCATAGACACTGAAGGGATATATACAAAGCGAACAGAAGGGCCTGTTCCAGAGATCTTCTCCTGCCCTGATGCTGCAAAGCATTCTAGGAGTAGAGAAAAAAAAGAAGAAGGATTAATATTTCAAGGATGAGAATCGGACAGGTACAAATCCTGCAAACCATTTAAACTGGAAACTGGATAAATAAAACAAAAATTCCAAACTTGGTCCTCTTTCAGCTGCCTGCTGGCCTGCTTTATTGAGGATGGTTTCTTTGCTATCTGATTTTGGTTTGTTTCTTTACGGCGATCCTTTTCGCCTAAGTTTGGGTGTTTGCTGCTGTGTCGTCTGCTCAATCAGGCTTGGCTGGTGTAGTCCGGCTTCTTGGGAGTGTTTGGGGCCAGCCCTAAGAAGGGCTGGCGTTTGCCTGAGCGGCCTGCAACGGGAATGGGCGGGAAATTCAACCATTTAGCCGTAGAACTCAGTTATATTGGGGAACCATGGGAAGGTTCTGAAGTAACGTGTAGTCCAGTAGGGGCCAGTCTTGCTTGCTTGCTTGTTTTACCCCACTAGGACTTCAAACAAGCGATAAACACCCAGTGACACAAAGTGCCACCATGCGGATGAGGATCATCCGTAGAGAAGTCCCAGAAATAGTTTTCAGCCGTTATGGCCACAATTGTGGCCCAGCTATATCCAGGGCCCCCGGCAAAAACCAGGGTGGGGCTTCAAATAACGAAAAATTGCATCCCACAAGGGGATGACTAGAGTATATTGAGGGGGAGTCCTTAAACTATGTGTGTAAGATATTTGTTGACCACCACACACGTCGTCTTCCATGCTCTCAGTATTTCTCCCTTTTTTCTCATTCTATAAAATGTTCGTTGTATATATGTATTTTTATCTGGCTGTATCACCATGTTCTATCTGTCTGTCTGTACTTTCTGTGTGTGCATGTCTTTCCCCCTCTTTCTCTCTCTCTCTCTCTCTCTCTCTCTCACACACACACACACACACACACACACACCACACACACACACACACACCACACACACCTCTCTCTCTCTCTCTCTCTCTCTCTCTCTCTTTCTCTCTTCCATTCTGCCTGCATTTGTTTATTGTGCTTTCCTCTCTCTCTTTCTGTTGTTTCTCTGACACACTGTCTTTCTTTCTCACTCTCAATTCCCCGGTGTGTGTGTGTCTGTACATTTGATTGAATAGATGATTGAATGTCTGGGGTTATTGGTGAATGATTTACTGTAACAAACTCTAAACCCAGAACCAGTAGTAAGACTTATACTGGATCTTAACATTGCCTGTTATTAAGATGTCAAATTACCACCTGCATGAATATATAGATGCCTGAGGAAAGCAGCCGACTTAGCCATCCAATACCAGTGAAGAAAGGATACCATTAGATACACTGTGGGAACAACACCTTGCACCAAGTTCATTGAGAAGCAGAAGAGCAAATGATTCTGACATCTTGTTAGAATGCAGCATCAACAGCTGCCAACAAAGATGCTACACCTAAGTGGATCTTATATGAAAGCAAGAGAATGCCCAGGTGGAAAATGACATTAAAGACATTCTACATCGACATGGAATGACACTAACCAGTTCTACCCATTGAGGAATGGATCGCATACTTTCCTCACCACATTTCGTAACAGCGAAAATGGAAGAAATTGGTGATAATAAATATGATTTGAGCCACAGTTCAGCACAGCACATGTGGATGATATTAGTTCTAGGTTGGTAATATTTCCTCTTCGGGTGTTAGATATTTTAGCTCTACTTGGAACGGCACCATAAAATGGCGGCCGTAATATAATGCCGTTCGAAAGAGAGCTAAATTGGCCACATTCTGGCCATAAAATATCCAAAAATATCCGAATGGGGCTCAGTTCTTTTTAAAATATATATTCCGGCTCCGAACAACGAAACAAATGCTCTAACAGGGTCTCTGCGATATGTTACTTGCGGACCTGCTTCTGCGAGTGTGCCTCACCACGACCGTATCCCCTGGGGATGGGGACTAAACTAGATGGCTGGAACTCACGAGCGGCAGCTACCGCATCTCCTGCAACTTCATCCAGTTACTTTACTTGTGAGTCCCAGGCACCTAGTTTAGCCCCCCCCCATCCGCGCAGCGCGGGGGATACGCTCGACGATGAGTTTGGCGAATGCCGACAAGTCTGACATCTACCGCTGGCTAAATCCTCCAATCGGAAGAACACAGTATTGCTAATCGCTTTCATCGTCTGTAATGTCTCGGAATTAGTCCACGGTCGCTAATATATCGTCTGCTAGTATCGTCGTCTTCAGAAACGCTCGAAATTGTTGTCAACGGTCGGTATTTATTGTCTGCTACTACCGTGTGCAATGTTGATATTGATTGTCAAGTAATCCTAGTTTTGCTGCGATTTGTTCCTTGGCAGAAAGTCCGTATTTTAAATACGCCTGAACACCGTTCGGATATTTTTTGATATTTTATGGCCAGAATGTGGCCGCCATTTTATGGTGCCTTTCCAAGTAGAGCCGATATTTCATTCCCAACAGAACCCAATGCAGCTGAAGAACTGCATCCCATTAAAGAAACATTATTACACTTACTTTATTAGTTGATCCTCTTCTATCCTGGGGTGCAGAGGTTTGAAGAGAGATCGCCAGACTTTTCTGTCAGCAGTTTTCTTTATGACTTTGTTCTGTTCCAGTCCTGTGTCTGTCAGGGGTTCTCAGATGTTGTCTTTCCAGTGAACCCTGGGTCCATCAAATACCCTGTTAGTTAATGAATTTGTCAGGGGTGGGAGGATAAAATCTTAACATGTGCCATTCATGGTGACGGTACTAGCCATATGGCTCTAAATCATCCTTAAGAACCCTTTCCCGTCCTACACAGCCCTAAAACTGTTTGTTTTAAATGTCTGTTTCATTCTTATCTGTTTAAAGATGTGAATAATTTATGCATCCATATCAGGCACTACATATCATTGATGATGTGGGAACTCTTATCAAACTCCAATACTCGAGCCTGCCAGTTCCAGATTTCTCAGAGAAAGATATCCAACTGATTGAAGTAAGGAATCCTTTATTTGTTTGTTTGTTTAATCCAGTTGCCAGGAAGGCTAACCCTAACCTGGACAACAAATGCCTGAAGAAGCCAGATGTGTTGGCTGAAATGCCATGCTGTATGACTGTAGTCATGCTGTAAACAGCACAGCACAATTATGTTTTCAGATTAAAGCACAGTAATGTTTTCACATTAACACAGAAGAAGAAGAAACCTGTAGATTGTCCAGTTCATTGGGAAATATTATTGTAATCAGTGAAAACCAAAAAAGAAATTAAATAACACAATGCAAGTAGAAAGGATTGGCATAACACAAGGCTTCAGATCATCAGAAGTAATCCAACTTCGGCAGATGTTTTGTTTTTGTTTTTCCTCACTTTTTATCTGGGGGCTTCACAATATCACAACACAGACAGGTAAATGTTGCAGCTGTAGAGCCTGTGTCTGCACATTACATAAATCTACAATATACCACAAGTGTTGGCTGGCTCTGCACAACTTGGTGGAATACTGATACATGATAGGGCAGACGTGGTTAGTGCCTTGTGGGAGAGCGTGTACAATTCGGAGGAGCAGGTGGATCACCACAGTCTGGTGAGATTGATGCTGTTGGGGGTGACGAGAAGTTCTGGCAGATGCCTGAGGCTCAGAGGAAAGGCAAGACGGACGTTTAATCAGAATGCTACTGGCACCATTAGTATCGGAACTCTTCGCTGGCTGCTGAAGATAGCGACGGAGCGCTTATGGGAGTGTCCCGAGTGCTGTGATGTCGGTTCTTGAATCAAATCAAATCAAATCATACCACACGTGTGAACCAGAATGCACAGAATCACTTAACTGATAAATCTCCAGTAGAAATCACATTTGTATCTGACTAGTAAAATATGTGACGTGTGTGGCCACCAGAAATAAATACGAATCTAAGGCACAGATATTAGATAACAACACTGTTGGATATTAAGTCACCTTTCTAAATCTCACCAATATTCTGGTACCACACACTGGTGGTGCGGCGTCCGTGGCTTAGGCGTTGTGAGTCCGACTCATAATTCCAGTGCAAGCGATCGAAACCCACTGCAGGCTGCATGGTTTTTAAATCTTGGTATAGGGCGTCGCAGGTTGACCCAGCCTAAAATGGATCCTGTGCTGGGGAAGTAAAGACAGCTGGCGTAATGCTGACCACATTACCCACCCAGTGCCGATTGGTCTGTAAAAATGTGGGTGCTCTTCCCATATGCCTGATGCGCCTAAAGGTGTGAAAAGGGATTTTTACTTTTACACACAGGTGGTGCATATTAAGCCAGTTTTCCTCCATCACAACCTTCATCTTAGGTGCTCTCTGACATAGGAAACACCACTACTGCCTGTTGCATCTTCACACACCATTCATGGCTGTGCCTCAGCTTGCACTTATATGGTCTTTTATGCTGATTCTCAAAATATAACAGAGGTCTCTTGGTGGGGTTGTAAATGAAAGATTGTTGTGTTTTTCTTCTTCTTCTTCTTCATGTTCACCTGTTGTAAACTCCGGCAGAAAGTTCTGGTTGTTCATCCCACCTCAGGACTTTTACTTTGTTCCAGGACCTGAGTGTTGCATGCACATCCATTTTACAGATCTGACTTATTTATATGCAGACTGTTGGTTCTTTGCCTGTCAGGCAGAGACACTCCGACTTTGAAGGAAGTCCCAAGCTAGTCTCAACTCTTATAGCATGCTTTTTGGGAGGTAGTGGGTCTGTTTTTGTCTCCCCCACAATAGGGCCCTAGAACCCTCATGAGGATATTGTTGTACTGAATCTTAAAATATGTTGAACTTGAAATAGAAAAAAAATATTTAGACTGCTTCATTGGCTTTATTTGCGTCCTTGGTTCTTTGCGGTTTAGTTGCATTTTTCTCTTGCAGCTTATGAATATATTAAAATATGTTTAGCATCACTATATATATATATGTGTGTGTGTTTATATAAAGGTAAGAAGGTAAAGTTGGGAGATGTGAACCAGCGTCATTGCACACGGTTATAAACCATATGTGCTCTGCCTGCCACCAGTACGGACAGCTCATAGAAAATTGTCCACCTGTGTCACCGTCCGCACGCAACTCTGTAGCTACAGCGACGTTCCTCCATTTACCCCAGAGTGTTAACTCTAGTACCCATTTCCTAGAGGCTGGGTGAACCTCAGGAACTGCCCGGTTTCGAACACGGGCCGTGGGTTGCAGTTGGATTTGAAAGCGAGTCTCCTATCGACTAGGCTAACGGGAACTCCTGAAGACACACACACATACATATTCATTTTTTTTTTTTTATTTCAGTAAACTATGGACTAAATGCAACACCTTGAGTGAGGACATCAACAGTTTGCTTTGGCTGTGATTATGTTTGGTTTGTATGATGCTCAAGGACAGCTCATCACTATCCCTTGTTGGTGTATTGATTTTTGTGTACCTTTTCCATTTCAGTTAAATTGATTTACGCAATTTATCATTTTTATTTTGTCTTTATTCGTGATCATGTACCCTACTGGTACAGATTTAAATCTAGATTTGGACCAACACCACAGTAAACTAGACAGTTCATAAATTCAAAAAAGTTGTGCTTGGAAAGTGAATGAAAAATATATTTTTAAAAAAAGGGCTAGACCAGATCCAGATTGTGAATAGTATCTTGATTTTTTGAAAATATACAAAGAGCCAGTTAAAAGACAATGCCTGTTTACTAGGTAAATATTAATTAAATATGATTTTCATTAAGTATTTACACGATGGTTCAGGGTTTATACTTTCATAGCAGCTCTCAGAACAGTAATATTGACATAATTATTTATAACTGAGCTTTTTTGTAGACTAAAACATATACTTTTCATAATATTTATGGACAATATTAATAAAATAGACATAACACCAACAGATGTTGATAAACAGGAGGACTTCAATGAGCTGCTCTTTGCAGACGATCAATGCATATTTCACAGTGATAGTAAACAGCTGCAAGACCACATAAACCTACTACACGACAGTTGCCTCAAGCATCATATGAAGATCAATACTGAAAAGACAGAAGTCATGAGAATAAGTAGAGAGCAACAGACCATCGACATAAAGATTCTAGATCACAGCCTAAAACAAGTGCAAGAATTTAAATACTTGGGAAGTATCTATACATCCAATGGTAAAATAGACAGAGAGATCGAAGCAAGAATCCAACAAGCCAACAATGTCGCATACCAGCTTGCCCCAATTTTAAAACACCCTGCTGTCCCAGTTGAGATAAAAAGTCAAATTATAAATACAAACTTTATACCCACATTAGGTTATCAATGTCAGACTTGGACATTAACAAAAGAACACGAGAGAAGACTAACCACCTGTGAAATGAGATGTTTGAGAATGGCTGCGAATAAAACCAGAAGAGATCGAGTGAGAAACGATGTGATTACAAGAACTATTGGAACCATACCCATCGTTAAATTTATTGAGAAGCAAAGAATGAAATGGTTTGGTCACCTAATGAGAATGGAAACAACGATGCCAGCATCAAGAGCATACAACATGAAAATCGAAACAACAAGAGGCAGGGGAAGACCAAGAAGAACATGGATTGAAGGAGTCACGGACAACTTGAGACTTCATAACATCACGGCATATGAAGCGACTGAGCGCGCCCTGGCTCGGTTGCCGATCATCTGATAGACTGCGACGCCTAGCGGCACAAGCAGATTTTGACAAAAGAAAGAAGAAAACATGTGCACAGTATCATAGCAAGAAATTTAGTCTGAAGATTGCCAGGTTTAAAAAAAAAAGGTTACTCTGAAATAAACTTATTGTGAAATTGTGTAGATTTCCCCTTTGCTTCCACATCTGTCAGTGTGAAATTTTTCAAACACAATATATTTGGCTTACTGAAGCTAAGATGTATGTATTTCAACAAAACTGTGATCAGTTATATTGTTATGTTTTTTGGGGGGGGGGGGCTATTTGGGTTTTTAATTTCTGGGCTCAGTAACTGTGTATCTAACTTCTCAATATATGTCTGGAGTGGCTATCTTTAACACTTTGTTGAAAAAAAAAAAAAAAAAAACATATTATTCACTGACCATAAAAAATGAATAAATATATCATGATTTGCTCAGAATAAATATATGATTTATAATCAATGCAGTAATCTCACTATCACATTCCTGAAGTTCCATAAAAGGAATATTTATAAATGCCAAGCTTCAGTTGTTTTATTTTACAAAAGCAATTATCTGAATTTTGGTTTTTAAAACGCTTAGATTGATTTAAATATTTAATTGATTGCATTTTCAGTGCGTTGCAAGTTGGCGCACAATGAACCTGTATCTATTCTGAGAAATATTTTGAAAGAAATAACAGATCATTTGCAGCGTCAACAATGTTTCAGAAGGTAAACCCTAATAACTATATTAGAAAGGGGCCTGCGTTTCACATTTTTTAATAATTATTGGTAGAAGTGCATTATATTTTGATAGCCCAGATTTGTGAAGATGTTGACAGTATAGCATCTTTGTTTGTCATGGAAATGTTTGCTGTATTAGCTTTTTTGGGTGGTTTCTAAATTAAATTTGTTTACATTTTTATGTTGAGAAAAATAAATTGCATGAGAACTTTGTGGTTATTTAAAACTTTTGATTAATTATTCTGATAGCTGTAATAAATTTAGTTACAAAAATGGTAATTATGCATTCAAAATAACACATTTGAAACAAATGACATTTTTAACTGCATCAAAGTTTGTATTGGAGAGATGTGATAAAATCATCTTTTGAAAGGTTTTGTAGTGTAAAGACAGTTTATATGTTGAGAATTGCTCATGAACTAGAAAAATTAACTACTTCTTCTTTCGTTCGCTTGAAATAGATTATCTATATCTACAATTCTGTCTCTAGTATGAACTTCAGTGGCTGTTGTAATTCAGTCAGCGACCCGTTCACACAAAATTCACATATGAAACATTTGGGCAGGAAAAGCTTAAGAATGTCAAAAGTCACCTGCCCTTTCTAGTGACAAACTGTTATTTTGAAAAATTCATATTGTATAGTACATTTTGTGAGAATTACCTAAGAATTACATAAAAGTCTCATTGAAAAGCAGAAGATCAGAAGGTTTGGTCATCTAATTAGAATATAGCCACAACAAACAACAACACAAGCACTACACCTAGACAAATTTGATGTGAGAACAATTGAGCATCTGTAGAGAAGATGGACTAATGAAATTAATGGCATTCTGGATCAACATTGAATGACAACATCCAGTGCTTTTCTTCGAGTAATTGACTGCAATCCCTTCCACCCCAAGATGCTTAACGGCAAAAGTGTAAATTGATGATGATGATGATGAACTTTCATAGTGACAATAATATTTTTAGGAAGACACCTTCTATAATGCTTTGGGTGGAAATTGCCTAGTAATTACACAAATGTACTGACCCAGGCAGGAGCCCGAAGACAACTTATCACTGACATCAGAAGGAGACAGTCATCATTTTTCGGCCATGTTATGAGAAGAGGGAAAATAGAACATGTTGTGACCACTGGAAAGATCTGTGGAAGGAGGGATAGAGGAAGACAGCGAGAGAAGATGCTTGACGGTCTTGTTGCATGGCATGAAGGTGTGTCGGCACACGAACTGATACATGCTGCAGGAGATCGCGGATTATGGAGAGGCATGATCGTCCACGCCAGTCGGCAAGGCACCTGATGATGATAATGATGACTGACCCATTCTTATCTTAGCAAGAAAATGTGTTTTTTTGTGTGTTTATATTAGGATGAAGTTGCTATCACATGTGAAGCCATTCAGGCAGTTAACTCCTTCTCCCCCCCCCCCCCTTCCCCCAATGCATTAGGTACAAAATTTCCATTATGTTATAATTGCCAAGAAACGCTATTGATACAACACTTTTAGAAAGTTTTATAAAGACCCTAGGGCAGTTTCAATAAGTTGTATCTATCCAAAGAAACTTACATACTATGCCTGATTTGGTGCAAAATTGCCAAAAATTAACATAACAGTTTTAGGAAGACAGTGTTATCTTGAGATATTCACATTTGTCTTATGGTTAATTTTGTTGTTGTTTATTTCTTCCCTTTTTGCTTTGTATCTTCCCAAATTTACGTACACTGCTTGAAGCAATAATTGTTTACATATTTGTGATAAATATTTATGAGGAGATTTGCTGACCCATATTGTGTTTTAATTGTGGGGAGTCGTGAGCCCTTACATATACTTGCTTTCATTAGCAGGTATGGTCTGCTGAAGAAAAGAGGACAAGAACTTAAAAATTAACACTGTCAACTTTTCAAAAGATCTTTTTTATGCTGAGAAATGTAGCTGTCGTGTGTATTTTCATTGATGGCTTTTTTACATTAATTTGAATATAATTCAAATTTCAAACATTATAGCAAATTGGTCACACAATATTCTATGTGAGCGAAAACCCTACAGAAGTGCCAACACAGACAGGCTCCAACTAGAGCTGCAGTTCTCAAGATTTACAGTATTTACAATAGAATCAAGGCCGAAAGGTTGCGATATCTATAATACCGAGCCTAAGGGTTAACAACTCATGGCTTCTGGATACTAAAAGAAACAAACAACATACAGTTTGTAGATACTTAGAAAAACCTAGACAGACACTTTCAAAACAGTTTGTAGCTACTTAGAAAAACCTAGATAGGACAATTCAATACAGTTTGTAGCTGCCAAGAAAAACCTAGATAGGACACTTCAATACAGTTTGTAGCTGCCGAGAAAAACCTAGATAGGACACTTCAATACAGTTTGTAGCTGCCAAGAAAAACCTAGATAGGACACTTCAATACATTTTGTAGCTGCCAAGAAAAACCTAGATAGGACACTTCAATACATTTTGTAGCTGCCAAGAAAAACCTAGATAGGACACTTCAATACAGTTTGTAGCTGCCAAGAAAAACCTAGATAGGACACTTTCAGTAGTTACAGATGCCAAGAAAAACTAAGATAAGACACTTTCAGTACAGTTACAGATGCCAAGAAAAACTAAGATAAGACACTTTCAGTACAGTTACAGATGCCAAGAAAAACCTAAGACACTTTCAGTACAGTTGTACAGTCACCAAGACTTTTGTTGCTTTTTCAGAAATGACCTTGGCCCCCAGGTAGACCTAGCCTTAATTAAATACCAGGTATAATCCTCGGAAGTAAAGGTGGCCAGCATGGTGTTGGCCACATTACCCACAGAGTGCTAATTGGTCTATAAAATATACTTCTAGTTCTGAATGCGTAAGGGTCCAGAACTATTTTTTGTATATTGA